CTGTTGAAGGTCAAACGTTTTGCAATCAATTATACAAACTAGAGGCTGTTCCAAGGTTTGCTAGCATAAATACTGTAGTTCCACAAGCATAAGCCTCTAAACACAAGATCATAGCTAAAGTATATTTATTTCTCAGTCGAGGGGCACTCACACATTCTCCCTCCACACGCAGACCATAGGCAATGGCATGGAGCCCTCCTGCAATTCCTCTGAATTCTCCTTCCACCTCTTGCAGGATCAAAAACCAAGGTAAGGTCTTTGCTCTGTCCTTTACTCTTCTCATAGCCCAGAAAGCCTGGATCACTGTGCAGCACACAATATACACATACACGGTTCAGACTGACTGATGCCAAGATCAGAAAGAGAACTAGGAAGGAAGACGGAGGTGCCAGGGAAAGGTCCCTAACTCCACGCCCAGCAGCCTGGGGCTGCCCCAATGTAAGAGGGGAAATAACTGGAAAGAGGCTTATTATGTGTATGACTTTAGGGCCTCTCTGAGTCCGATTTTATTTTCTGTACAGATCGGGATAATAAACTTTTTGCCTTGTCTACTATGGGAGACCATCCTCACACGTGACTGAGTTAACTCCCCGGCTGGGTGTGAGGCACTCAGTTGTCTACATGCAAGGCTTCATGTGTGAAAAGGACAAAGTGTGTGCAGCACAGATGATCATCATGATGGGATCGTCTTCCAGTGTGAGCTCCTACTCGTCCTCTCACTCAGCCAAAGGAACTACAAAGGATTCTATCGGAGAAGCATTGTATTGAGGATTCTAAGCCAATGGTTCTCAACCCTTTTTCCATCCTGTGAAAAAGTAGTGTCCCAAAATCAGTGTCCAGAGCTTTCTGGGAAGACTCAGAATCCCAGAAACATAAGTGAGAGAAGATAGGGTAGAAGGATAGCGCATGTGGACAGAGACACTCAAAACTTCCAAATTTCATGAAATTTCTCTCAATTTAAAACGATAATCCAGGTCAAAGTCAACTGCCTCAAACCTTCCCACCAAAAGCCAGTATAACAGTTCCCCTGGATCCAGTCCAACCCCAAAGCAAATCCTGGAATCGCTTCACAGAACCCCTGGGCCTTCACAGGGTGCCCTGTGGCTGCAGTAACTATGTTTTTCAAACAAAAATCAGGTCATATTGTCTGACAAAAATGAGCGTATTTATGGAGTAACAACACATATAACAGGGTGAAAAAGCTAACAGAAAAGGGTCACAAATCAGTCATTTCAGTCCTCCAAAGTAAGATATGCATAAGAATTCCCAAAAGTACCTGGAAAATGATAGTACTATGAACTATAAAATATCTTTATTTTTTTTTGCAGTGTTTAGAATCAATTTACAGCCAAAACATGGAAGATCTTACAATTTATTATAGTTACAAAATAAAATTTCACAGTGTAAAAGCAATGACACAGATAGATGAACAAACTAGAAAATGAGTTAGGAGGAGGCGGGGGCAGTTGACACAAGAAAGAGTTTATTACATAGTGTTTTAAAATACCCAATAAGTAAAGTTCCTACTGCAATTATTTTAAAAAATTAAGAAGAGAGAAAAAGTATAGCTCTCTTGGTGATAAGTCCTCACCTTTCATAGCAATGGGTACTGTTTCTGTCTAAACACAGAAGTGCAAGCATAGTAGATGGTGCTGTAGAGATAAAAAGGAGAAGAACTCAAAACAGAAAGGATTAAAACTAGCCTTAAATGATGAGAACCAGGAGAGCAAAAGGAGCTTTCTTTTGCTTTGTCATCTAATGCTCATTCACAAAATTTGTGCTTTTACACTTAGACATCCATATTTTAAGGCAACATTACTTTAAAGTATGACTATCTTATCTTTCAAACAGAATGCTTTCACACAGTTTCCCTTTCATTAGTATATTCCATTTTCATTTTACCCCACTTCTTAAAATTCTATATAATTTTAGATTGTGATTGTGTTTGCATCTCTGACTTTTTCATTTTATAACTTTATCTTTTCTAACTAGTGATATATCATTTAATTTTCAATTGTTTCAATCAACAATATCATATGACAATGACTTTTACTTTCCCTGACATTCTTTAGCAGTGTTAAACACTATTACATTGTGTGGATCAACAAAAAGTATTAGAAAGATGTACAATTTCTCCCCTGCTAATTTTGGTCTTCAGAACTGCAAACTCACGGAACTCATTCAAACAAGCTGGGTGGCATTTCTTTCTACAGAAAGAAAATAGCTCTAATTCTAGAAATAAATGAATGTCTTATTTAAGTTGGAAAGCAGTAAAACAAGTAAAGTCTGAAGGAGACATGCTGGATTACTTCCATTATAAAAGACTTTATTCTAAGATTTCAGTACAAACAGCATTTACGAAGAAGATAAATTTTTAATAAAGTTACTCTTTTGTATAAATAAGAGTGTATCATTCACACCATTTTCTCTTCCTTTTCTCCTCAAAAGCCATCTCCACCAACCCATTCCCCCAAAAAAGTCAGAGTTAAAACTCTACCTAGTAGCAGTAGTATTTAGTAAATTAAAGAATTAATATTCAAAGGGAAAAGATTTTTGTATGCATGAGGATTTGAACCCAAGGGCACTTAACCACTGAGCTACATCCCTAGTCCTTTTCTATTTTTTATTTTGAGACAGGGTCTCACTCAGTTGTTTAGGGGCTCAGTAAATTGCTGAGGCTGGCTTTGAACTTGAAATCCTTCTGCCTCAGCCTCCCAAGTAGCTGGGATTACGGGCATGCGCCACCACGCTTGGCAGGGAAAACAACTTTGTGCTAAATGCTAAAGATACTTTCCTTCATCCTCATTGCAACTCTTTGAGATAAGTTCTATTGCTATTATCTTTTACACTGTGGAAACTATGGTTTAGGAGGGATAAACTAAGTAGCCCAGGTCCCATAGCTTGGAAGTACATAATGGGGCTGGGAACTCAGGAAACCTGAATTACATTCTTTAAACCACTATGTAAGAGCAGAGATTCATTTTAAAAGACAAGATGATATTTCACCCACTAGCATTTGTAATGACATGAGTAATAAAAACTACACAACATCCATCAATAGACTAAAGATAAAGCATATTTTGTCTTTTTAACCTGTATTCTAACAGTCCATAGGGCAAAGGAGTTAGTTCATATTACACTTTACAACTGTTACATTTTTTTTTAAAATAGCCAAGTTTTCATCTGTAACTTCTCTTACCAATTACTTTAAATTTTGTGCTCTGTAACAACCCAACTCCATCACTCTGGGGGATGGGTGAGCCTCAACAGGCTCAATATTTGGATCCGGTTCAGACACAGCACTCAGAGATTGTGTGGGCTAACTAAAGCCTCTCTCGATGGAGCAAACAGCTGGGCTGTACCACATCTGACCACATCATTGCAAGAATTGGCCTCTGTGCAAGATGTCTGCAGCATGTCCACATTCCTTAGCCAGAACCCACTTCTGCAAGTTTGGCCTCTCATATAGCAAGATAGCCTTTCTGCTTCTTCTCCCAAGTGCAGACTCCTTTTCAGACAAGGTTGGGGTAATAAAAACAAGGTCGGGGGCTCTTATTTCATATGTGAGAGTTTCCCAGGCTGCGTAGTGATTAAAACCCTGGGCAAGGAGAACACTAAGCATCAGATAAAGGCTAATGAGGTTGACCCTGCTCCATGAGTAGCCTGCTTTTTGATCTTTCAAGGGAAAATGACAGTTGACCTCTTGAGTATAAATGTGAAGGGATATCAAAATGCCAAGTCCCTCACAAAAGAAAAGGCACCCAAAAGCTCATGTAATATGTCCCAAGATAATACCTTAATAACCCACTATTCCAGAGTGAAAACACTTTCCAATGACAAAAATGTGATAGGTCACAGGACAATTATAGGACCAACACATATGGGCTCTATATATTGTTAACTACACATCATGATTTTGGTTTTGACAAACTTTTATCAAGATTAAAAAAAAAATAGAAAGAAAATCCCTGAGTGCTGTCTGCTGAGGGTTCCTATAATTCTTCAACAGACTTTGCAAACCCACCCCCACCTTTGTTTTAACACCTTCATTCTGATCCTCTTTGCTAAAGGCAGAGGTCAAGTCTCTCAGCAATGATTTGAATACCACGTGTGACTGTCCCAGCCCGTCTGC